AAATGACATCAAAAAAGAAAGAGCCAATAAGAGAGTCAAACAAAAAACGACATGAAAGGTTCAGCAGTTGGAGAGAAGAAAAGCTAGAAACGTATGGTAAACTCTTGTACTTTAAATAACTGACACAGAAACGATTTATATATTTCTTGAACAACATTTCATTTCAATTATTTATTGAAAACATTAAATGTCAAAAAAAAGTTGTTTGCATGCATATTAACATTTCTTGCTAAATACTGTTTGGTGCAATTAAATAAAACTTGCTTCAAATATTAGTTATAAAAGTTTAATAATGGCTTGACTTGGTAATGAAAAGAATATAATTTAAACATTTTGACAATATTATGTTGTACATTTAAAATAAAGTTTTTTCATGACCCAGTCAAGCCATCTCCAGACTTTTATTTCTAAAATGTGGGTTTCTCGTCATCAAATTCAATATCAAATATTGTCTTGAATCTTCTCAAAAGACTGTCTCCTTGACTATTTGATCAAACAGATTTGTCAGTATGGCTCATTACGAAATGCCCACAGAACATTGAAAGAAAATGATCCAAAACCCAAAATACCACCAACAGTTCTAAGAGATTGATATGAAGGGATGATTCAACATCAGACTACTGACCCGAAACCTCTTGAGAGTCCAAATACACCCTCCACCCCATCAAGAATGTATCTGTAAACATGACAAAGAGGAAGAGGAACATCTGCTGTGGTATTGACTTTGTTGAGCTTCCAGGCAAAGTAGACCTGTATGGGAGGATAAGGGTGAATAATGGAGGTGAAGGGATCCTGAGCGAGGTTCTTCGATTCATGAAGAGTTCAATGAAGATGACGCATGTGAGCATGAATCAAAGAGATAAGGGGGTTCCATGAAAGCCCAAGTCTCCCTAAACAGAGGAAGCCTCCTGTTCAGTGAGAGAAGGAGAGGATATGACATTGTAAACTAAGCACTCAATCTCCTTCAAATGAAGAAGAGAAGGCTGGGCCCTGCTGAGGTAATAGTTGAAACCACCCTAATGAATGAGATACTGAGGGGATATGATATCTGACTTCTCCAGTTTGACCCAGACGTGCTGACTTCTGAAAGATGAGAAGGGTATGGTCATAGGAAGCTTGCTGGAATGGAGTCAAAAGAAGCCAGTCATATAATGGTGAAACCACGGTTCCAGACCATGAATGTGATGAGCAAAAGCTCTGACCTCCTGAGAGAAAATGTATGGAGCTGAAGCAAGGTCGAAGAGTAGAGCACGGAATTGAAACACATAACCTCAATGAACAAACCAAAGGTAATGCCTAAAAGAAAGGGAAATAGGAATGTGAAAGTAAGCATCCAAGATGTCAATCTTTGTTATCCACAGACCTGGATTGATGACCATCTGAGGGCAAGAAAGGACTCCATGGTAAAATGAGAGATTGATGAAGTGAATGAGGCTTGAAAGATCGATAACAGAATGCCAATCCTCAGTTTTCTTGAGGATAATGAACAGATGGGAATAAAAACCCAACAAAGGAAGAAAACCTATTTCATAGCGTTTTTTTACAAGAAATCCTAAACCACCTATAACTGATACTGACACCAAACCCGATCCCAATGAGGAGAGAAAGAAACAGGAATAGGAGAAAATAGAGGAGGTGAGGAAAAATGAAGATCCAGTCCCTTTGATAACACCCGAATGACCCAATGATGAGTTGCAAATGGTGCCAAAGGTAAAGAAACCATGCCTCTACTGTGCCTGAACCTAAGGTATAGTCCTCATCAATTCTGACAACACCAAAGGTGATGGTGAGAGTACTAATGGATCAAAACAGTAACAAAAGAAGAGGGAACAGGGAAAAGAGAGGAAGTCTGAGGACAAGAAACAGTAACAAGAGAAGAGGGAACAGGGAAAGAAGAGGAAGTCAGAGGACAAGAAACAGTAACAAGAGAAGAGGGAACAGGGAAAGGAGAGGAAGTAAGAGGACAAGAAACTGTAACGGGACTTATTAGACAAGGACTTCCTACTTTCTCAGGTGTGTTTGCCTGCTTCATATCTTTGAGACCTTCTTCTAGCTCCTTTCCTCTGCCAGTCTGTTTTTGGGGGTTTCATCGGAATCTCATGTAGAAGCTGCATGCCAACACTCCTCCATTCCTTTTTTGGTTCCTGTCTTTTCAAATCTTCTGCATATGTTACTATTTCTTGTCCTCTGACTTCCTCTCTTTTCCCTGTTCCCTCTTCTTTTGTTACTGTTTCTTGTCCTCTGACTTCCTCTCTTTTCCCTGTTCCCTCTTCTTTTGTTACTGTTTTTTGTCCTCTGACTTCCTCTCTTTTCCCTGTTCCCTCTTCTTTTAACAACAAAGCAACCATGTATGGAGAGATAAAACAGAAAAAGACAAATGTGCCAACATAGAAAAGAAAAGAGAACGAATATCCATCAAAAATCTTTCAGAGGAAAGGCAGTTAGCTTTATAAAGCAGGCGAATAGACGAGAGATAAGATAGTCAAGTAGTAAGGGTGAGATGAAGACAAAAGAATTGGGTTGTGGAAAGGTGAAGAGAAGAGAAAGGATTGGATCCCCATGCTTGAACAAGAGACTAAAATCCTGAGAGTCTAGAAAGGGAAACTCAGCCCGATGATAGGCCAATACATGTATGTCTATCAAATGAGGAGGATGAGACATGTAGGCTTCAGCACAAAGATGAGAGAACCTGAAGAAGAAGTAAAAACAAAATAATCAGAAGCTGGTCCAGAATGGAGCAGGGAAGGGGAAAAATCATAAGACACAAGAGGAAGGGACAGAAGGTAACAAACTTGTGAAACAATATCCAAAAAAGACAAGGAAGAATAAGGTAAATCAATGGCAGTGGATTGAGAAGGTGCAGCAAAAGCAAGTGGAAGAAATAGGCTGTTGATATGTCATCCTCTTGAATGGGATCCCCAGGAAAAAGAATATCTGTCCCCAGGTCAGTAGATGGACCAGTCTACATGTAGGACTCCAACTCTCCTGACACACTATGACCGAGACCTCTTTGACAGACAGTAGAGAGGCCTGATACCATAGTAGTAATCTGTCTATCAGATTTGAGGATCCACACCAGATAAAGCAGCAGTAACATGAACTTATGAATTGAAAAATGTGGTAAGGAAGAAAAAAAAAAAATCAAAAGCCTTCCATAAACAAAGTAAAAACAACAGAAAAAACTGTTGTCAATAATTGAAGTGTTAATCACTGGCACAAACGAAAGTATTACACATCAACACATGCGAGCGTCAAATTGAGAAGTGATAATTTAATAATCAGTATAGAGGGAGTCAGCTACATTAGGAAGGTGTGTTGCACTCCTGTTGGAAGAGGGTTGTCACATGCTTATTTGCATGATACAGTGCAGCAATAGCACATGGAAACACATGAGTTTAGGTGGGAACCTCAAGGCTAGTGGTGAGCAAAAAATTGTGCATATAGTGGGCAGCATAGAGAAAAGCTAATATTTGAGAGGAGGTAAGGTATCGTATCGGAACTCAAAACTCAAGAAGGTGGACATTCCATTGGAAAAGCACATTCAATGCCAGAGGTTAAACAAGTTTAGATTAGCTTAAGAATTCTGGTAGCTACACCTGGAAAGTTAAAGTGAATACTAGGAAATAACGTGTCCCAGTTATTATTTCAGTTCTGATTTTGGACAATGTAAACATCCTGTTTTTCTGATTATAAAAGCTGAGATATAAACTACCATGGTAGCAGTAGCCAGCAAAAGAGAGAGAGGAGCTAGCCAACAGTCCAGCCTGAGAGCCATAAAACAAAAAAAACGATGGAAAACTGGCACTATCAAATCTTTATGAAAGTTCATATTTTCATCTTATACTAGCTCTAATAACGTTTATCTGACATGTTTGCTAGGACAAAACCAAAAGTTTTGATTGACTTGTTGAATAAAATAATAAAGTTACTGCTGACCATTTTAGAAGAGATGTCAAAGAGTAACTCACTAAAGTGGATTCAAGTAATATGTTAACTTGTGTACAATAAAAGTCTCTGGCTGCTACTTTATTCTTTACGCAAACTTCCTCAAGTTGGTGGCTTGTGCGCTCATGACTGCTTATCATGGTATTAAAAAACTACTATATGTATTGGTATTGGCATACCTACCAATGGCCCATTACATCTGTGTTTTATTGGATGTACCTCAAAGTTATTCAAAATAATATTTAATACATATAACAGAACACACACATAAAACTTCATAAAAAAGCAGTTTCAAATGTTCAGATATTCTTAACCCTACTAGTGAAGTTCATATGAACTCTATTAATATTTTAAAATATAGGTTTCTAAACTATTGATACATCAAATTGTTTGGGAGTCTATAACTTTGTTGAGTATACATTTTGTAATAACACAAAAAAATGCTGACAATATTGCAATTAAACTCACTAAATGTTGCTGTGTTATTTTACACAGAAAATGAGTGTTTTCACAGAATTTGTTTAATAATATCTTTACAATGAGTGTTGTAATGGGCATACAAACATGCTGACCACTGGGCTATGTCAGATCCACTCAAACATGCTAATAATGGTTCAATGCACAACTTTTATTAATAAATGCAGGTGTGAAAAATAAGGGGTGTTCATGACGTGCAAGGATACAGAGAGCCCAAAAAAAACAAAAAGAAACGTTTTCATAGTAGTATTTCTATTAAGATAGGTATTTATATATTAGAGATAGGGTGTAGAACTTACAAATTAACCCTTTCTTGCTCTATCCAATCATATCTAAACCATTCCTGTATGTGTTTTCAAAGCTGTATTTCAGTAGCAATTCTTCAAATCACATGATATAACACACCATATAGGCCCGGCATGGCCAGGTGGTTAGGGAGCTTGACTCGCAATCTGAGGGTCGCGGGTTCTAATCCCTGTCCCACCAAACGTGCTCGCCCTTTCAGCCGTGGGGACGGTATAATGTGATGGTCAATCCCACTATTCGTTGGTAAAAGAGTAACCCAAGAGTTGGCGGTGGGTGGTGATGACTAGCTGTCTTTCCTCTAGTCTTACACTGCTAAATTAGGGATGGCTAGCGCAGATAGCCCTCGTGTAGCTTTGCGCGAAACTCAAAACAAACAAACAAACACACCATATAAGGATGGCAATTAAAGTGTCTCCTAATAAAAGTAGTAAATGAGGAAACAAATCTCATGAAAAGCAAGACATGAATAATACATTCTCAATGAGTAATTGTTTCTTAGCACATATAAACCCTTATTTGATAAAGGCAGAATAATTCTTAAAAAATTGACAAGTATTCTTTACACGCAGGACTCCTTAGAGCTGCAAAGACTTGATAAAAGTGGTAGGCAGATGGGCATGCATAGAAGTACATGTGCCATATTGTAGTAAATTGTAATAAGTACACCGTATACTTTTTACTTTTTCATTACTACGTTTCATTAGCTAAAAAAGAAATAAAAAGAGTTTGTTGGAAATATGTATCATAATACAGTTATTATTGGTTACAACTACATTGCATCTTTTATATTATACATGTATTATTCTTATTATTAACTGAATTACATTGTAAAAAGTTTGTTCACCAAAACTTAAAGCTAGTATTTCTGTTAAGTATACACGACTGTTTCATTTAAATTTAATACAAGAATTATGATTTAAATAGTTACAAAGTGCAAGTGTTAAATTTAGTATTTTTAGAAGAGATAATTTATCACAGCTTTGCTTATGTTTTCAATTGTTGTGAATTTATGTTACTCGAACCTTCTGTATTTTTCTCATTGCTTTAAGAGAGTATTGTTACATTCTAACATATTCTACTTTCTAGAAAGATCTAAGCCTCAGTCTGGCAATATATATATATATATATATATATATATTGTTAGTGCAAGTAAGTTAGTGAAAATGAAAGCAAAAGTGAAGTTAGACTGTGTGTCAGTTTAGCCGTGAGGGGTAATTTCTAAAATGAGCTTCACAGCTTGTACTGTAATAACAGAGATAGTGGAGAATAACTTGTCTTGTCAAAGGGTGTCCTAAAGTAATTGAACTCACCTACGTGGACTTTGATGTAAAAGAATTATTTAAAGATCTGGATACAACTGAGGTAACCATGGGGTAGCGTAAATAAATTTATCACTCATTGTATTGTGATAACAGAGTATAGAAGAATAATGCATATTATCAATTGGGTTTTAAAGTAACTGAACCAGTCTGTGTGGACTTTTAATGAAAAAAATAATTATTTAAAGCTCTGGATAAAACTGTTGTGATTAATTGTGTAACAAACATTTGTATATACATTGTGTGCTGTCCATTTATTGTTGAAATTTATCACAAACAAGTCACAGACACCTACTGTAAAGAATCTGGTTTATACATCCATCCATCCACATATACAAACAAAAACCTGACAATATCAATAGAAAGAAAAATTCAATGTTTAAACAGGTACTGCTGCATTGTATTTACATAATTCTTGTTGTTGTTGTTGGCTGAACCTTGTAGGCTTGATTAGATGCCTAGGTTTAAATTTATTTCTACAGAATACAGAAAAGGTCACAAATTTAAATAAAGTTACTTACCATAGAACTTAGACTTGGCTAAAATGCTACCACTAATACAAAATCCATCCTTCCTATTTGTGACATAAAATGCCGAAACAGGTGGATGATGTGATACCTATAAAGAATAAGAAATCCAAATATTTAGTAAAAAATATAGCTTATATTTCTTTATAAATAAATACTTTTAGCAATGACAATGTTTTTAAATTGATGCAACATTAACACCTAAGAGGATTTTTTTACTTCTTATTTGAAATATATTTTTACTGTATACATTTTGTACAGTTTAGTTACCTTGTCCAACTAAATAGTAAAAGATTGTTTAATAAAACATGCCCTACAAGAGAGAAAAAACAAATGTGATGATGGTGACCAAAACAAAATTAAATTTCAAATTATTTTTTAATAATAAATTAAGTATTATGTGATCAAAGGGAATTAAAACTGGTGAACAAACAGAAGATTACTAATAACCTGTTCAGCAATGTAGAAAGTTCGACTGTCTCTTTCAGTATTTTTCCAGCAACATCGGAATGTTTCACCAAGAATAGGATTATAAGGCTTTTTCAATCCCTTGGGTTTCTTGTAGAAACCAGATAAGTACCACTGTATAACAGTCTTCATTCTTGTGAACGGATCATCGTCTTGTACAGCACTGGATAAAATGAATTATTAAAAATCCATTTCACCTAAATCCTCTACAATTAAGAAATTACTAGTGCTGCCTGGGAATTAAAACTGTAGTTAAAAATATAAAATATTCTTTATTGAAGCAAAATATATAAAATTAACAACTTACTAGTATTGCCTGGACAAGTAATTTTTTTAATTAATTAATTTAAAACGTTCTGTAACTAGATATTTTTTATTCTCCATTAAATTTTGGGCCTACGCTTCTTTATAGACTAAAATATGTTACAGATGTAATGGGTAATTATTACTGATTTTGTTATAATTATTTTATTTATAGATTTAACAGTTTGAACTTGTACACTGCTCCACCATTTCCGTATTCATGGCGTGTTAGATCCCACTTTTGTCCCCATTTTCTTCTAATAATAATTCATGATTGTGTGGCAGCTAAGCATCGGTAGAATTATCGATGTACTGCTGTCTATGATGATGATGATGAGAGTTAGAGACTAATTAATTAGAAGTTTCATATTACTTGTTTTATGTTTTCAACAACTCACTACACATCAATGAGGGCAAATGTTATTCACAATAAAATCTAGAAATAATGGCTAATGTTTTTTTATGAACTTCATGATTGCATCTTTGAACACATGATAACAAATTTGCCTAACTAAGACTACTAATTAATAACACATATATCATATTTACAAGTCCAAGCAACTCATTGTAACAATAAAAAAAAACTGAAAAAATTAATATTTTCAAAGATTATTATTATAAGCTCAAATTAAAACTGCTTGTCTATTTTAAAACGTATTTTCGCATCTTCACCCCTCAAAAAAGTAACATAACAACCTCAAAAATTTAAAAAACTTATTAATACTTATTAAATTTCTTTATAGGTTTTATTAATAGTTCAAGACTTCCATCAGTATTTGTTTGTTTGGCGATTTTAGCCAATCACTGTTTCTCAACTTCAATTATCATGGTATGATGTAATTGTCTGGATCTCAGCTTTGAGAAGACTTAGGCTAGTGATCTAAAAATGTAATGATATTTTGAATTGCACAAATTAATATATGGCTTCCAGTTCAGTAGAGACCAACATAGAGATCAGAAAGAAGTGGTAAAGGTTTAGCGTGGTGATATATTGCTCGTATAAAAAATGTTTAACAGTCCTTATTTTTTCTTAAAGCTTGCTTTTTTATTTGAATTATTATGCACTATGATATATGAAAAATAGATGTTTTTTTTTATGCAACATGATGAGATAGACTTATCAAGTTTTGTTTCTTTTACAAGGCTATTTTAGGTTATGTTTACATTGGGCCTGATGTGCAAAAAAATCACCTACAAGAAATGTTAAAAATTGGTATATGTATAAAATTAGTTTTGAAACTTATTACGTTCATTAACCTTCTGATTTACAATTTAGAAAGAGAAGTTGGTTTGCTACAACTTTGGTACGGTAAAGAAGTCGCTTTTATTGTACGACAGTGATTGCAGAGGGATACAACCCATGCAATTGCATGGGGGCCTCAATTTTAAACACCCTTCTTTCTGCATGGGGGGCCTCAAAGGGTCTAAATTCGGCTCTGTGAAAGTACATGGTGTTTCTCAAAAATGTAGAAAAACAAAAATCAGTAACTGAAATCAATAAAAAAGGTAAGCATTTCTAACTTAAAGAAACATACCAATGAAATCTGTTCAAAATCTCAAAGCTGCAAATTCATACAAATATCAAAAAATTACTATATTTGCAGAAGCTACATAATGTGTAAAAAGTTTATACCAAGTTTCAAACTATTTCATTTAATAGTTTTTATAAACACAAACCACAAGACAGGAGCATCTAATTGATGCATCTGACGTTTTAAAGTTGATTTCATACTTATCTGTGAATTATCAGTTTCTAAAAGCTTAAAGGTATTTAATCTTTAAGGAAGAAAGTATATTTCCAGTACAGTGATAAATCTTGCAGGTAAAGTAATAATATGATATTAAACAAATACAAAATATTTTGTCTCTACTACTAAAGAGTATTCCAATAAAATTTTAAATGGTTTCAATTCAATCTAGAAGAACTTTGTCACAATGTGGTGTCCTAATATTGATGGTTTGTTTGTTACGGATTTTGCGCAAACCTACACGAGAGCTATCTGCGC